AAAGAGTGGTCGGGCATTGGAACAGGCTGCCCAGGGAGGGGGTGGAGTCCCCATCCCTGGGTGTGTTTAAGGGCCGTTTAGATGCAGTGCTGAGGGACATGGTGTAGGGGAGGACTTTGTAGAGTAGGGGAGATGGTTGGACTCGATGATCCCAAGGGTCTCTTCCAACCTAGACGATGATTCTATGATTGTTGTGCAGATCAACCTGGCGACGTCCCCGGCGGCGGCGCAGCTCCTGAACCGTGCGCAGAGCGTGGCCCCCGGCGCCTCGGGCATCGCGCAGCAGGCCGTGCTGCTGGGCAACGCCGCCTCGCCCGCCCTCACCGCCAGCCAGGCACAGATGTACCTGCGGGCACAGATGGTAAGGGGCCGACATCGCACCTGTCACCTGCCCCACGGCGCTTGTGGGGGGACGGGATCCGTGGGGTGCCCGTTTTCCAGCCGTGGGGTGGCCAGGAGTCATAAGGTGCCGCTTTTCCAGCTGTGGGGTGGCTGGGATCCATGGGCACCCATCGGCCTGCTGTGGGGTGGCCAGGACTTGTAGGGTGCCTGTCATCCTGCTATGGGGTGGCAGGGGTTGTCCCACAACGGGGTGGCTGAAACTTGTGGGGTGTCCATCATCCTGCTGTGGGGTGGCGAGGCACTGTGGGGTGCCCATCATCCCACTGTAGGGCAACAGGGACCTGTGGGGTGCCCATCATCCTGCTGTGGGGTGGCCAGGACTCATAGGGTGTCTGTCGTCCTGCTGTGGGGTGGCCAGGCACTGTGGGGTGCTCGTCATCCCGCTGTAGGGCAACATGGACCTGTGGGGCACCCATCATCCTGCCGTGGGGTGGCCAGGAGTCATAAGGTGCCTGTTTTCTGGGTGTGGGGTGGCTGGGATCCATGGGCACCCATCATCCTGCTGTGGGGTGGCAGGGTTGTCCCACAGCAGGGTGGCTGAAACTTGTGGAGTGCCCATCATCCTGCTGTAGGGCAGCCAGGACCCATAGGGTGCCCATTGTCTTGCTGTGGGGTGGCAGGGACACATTGAGGGCCCATCATCCTGCTGTGGGGTGGCCAAGAGTCATAAGGTGCCGCTTTTCCAGCTGTGGGGTGGCCAGGACCCACAGGGTGCTCATTGTCCCACAGCAGGGTGGCTGAAACTTGTGGAGTGGCCAGGACCCATAAGGGGGCTGTTGTCTTGCTGTGGGGTGACAGGGGTACACTGGGGGCCCGTCATCCTGCTGTGGGGTGGCCAGGACCCATGGGGTACCCGTTTTCCAGCTGTGGGGTGGCCAGGAGTTATAAGGTACCTGTTTTCCAGCTGTGGGGTGGCTGGGATCCATGGGCACCCATCATCCTGCTGTGGGGTGGCCAGGACTTGTAGGGTGCCTGTCATCCTGCTGTGGGGTGGCCAGGCACTGTGGGGTGCCCATCATCCAGCTGTGGGGTGGCCAGGACCCACAGGGTGCCTCTCGTCCTGCTGTGGGGTGGCCAGGACCCATAAGGAGCCCATTGTCTTGCTGTGGGGTGGCAGGGGTACATTGAGGGCCCATCATCCCACTGTGGGGTGGCCAGGACTTGTAGGGTGCCCATCATCCCGCTGTGGGGTGGCTGAAACTTGTGGGGTGCCCATCATCCCGCCATAAGGTGACAGGGACCCACTGGGTGTCCGTCGCTCTGCTGCAGGGTGAGTGGGACTCAGAGGGTGCCCATCGACCCGCTGTAGGGTGACAGAGACCTGTGGGGTGCCCGTCATCCTGCTGGGGGGTGGCTGGGAGTCATAAGGTGCCTGTTGTCCCTCTGTGGGGTGACAGGGACCCATGGGTGCCCGTCATCCCACAGCGGGGTGGCCAGGATCCATGGGATGCCCATTGTCCTGCTGTGGGGTGGCTGGGACTTGTAGGGTGCCCATTGTCCAGCTATGGGTGGCAGGAACCCACCCCATAGGTGCCCGTCATCCCACAGGAGGGTGGCCAGGACCCATGGGGTGCCTGTGGTCCTGCCATGGGGTGGCTGGGTCCTTATATGTTCCCTGACCCTATAGAGTGCCCACTGCTCTGCTGTGGGGTGCCTGGGACCCATAGGGTGCCCGTCATCCTGCTGAGGGGTGGCCAGGACCTATAGGGTGCCAGTTGTCCCGTTGTGGGGTGGCCAGCACCCAAGGGTCCCCACTGTGGGGTGGCCAGGCCCCATAGGGTCCCTGTCCCTGGAGGGTGCCCATCACCCTGCTGTGGGGCACCCAGACCCCACATGGCACCCACAGCCCCGTTGGGGGGTGCCAAAGAGGGTGGGGGGTGTCAGGACCCCATAGGGTGCCCCCCCTTGCACCCCTCCTGCCACCGGAGGTCCCTGGGGA